GTCCACCAGACGCGATGAAAAAAGAAGATTTAATATGCAAGTTAATCGCCGATATTCAAGGTTTGGAAGCCCAAGGTGAACAACACTTAGTGATTCGAACGAGTGGTGGTGATCAAGTTCGTTTAGAACGTTTTACTGTTCCAGCACCACAACCAGTTACGCAAAATATATTCGATTAATTAAGTCAAAATATCAACAAACAATTTATTTATCATATAGAACACATGCTTGTATAGCGCTAATATTTTTTTTCACGGTTATTTAGCAAAGCGATTTCTCCTTAAGAAAAAAACATTTATATAAATAATCGAGCAATAAAATATAATTATAGAAAGAATAATAAAAAAATCTATATATATATATATATTTTATGTTCTTTTATGAATGTTTTTATAATTTTCGAGAGTGAGTATAATATTGAATGTCGACATACTTTCTAATATATAAGAGTAAAGGTATCCCATCTTGAAATAACGTCTAAGGCTATTTATTCTGGATAATATTACTTTTATATGAATCTGTCAACTTCTCAAGCGCTGTTTATGAAGAACATGCTACAGTTAAATTTATAATTCTTTTGTTTTCTTTCAAAGAAATGAAATATTATTCTTTTTAAGCTGACACTCAATAATATTTGAGAAGATTAGAAATTAAACTTTTGAAGTACTTAAATATTTTTTGAAAGTCTTATCTTTCATATTTAATAGCAATGAGATTCTGAAAGATATTATTATTATTCTGAAATGTAATATTTTGACCTGTGACAATTAGTCGTAACAACAACTCGGCATTATTATAATTAGTTGCACGACTAAATGATATAATCGATTGAAAAAGTTTTCTTCACATGCTGGAGATATGATTCAGAGAATACATATTAATATTAAATGAACTTGATTATTTGAGTATAAAGCTTTATATGTGAGTAGTATGTGGTAATTGCTTTGGGAAAGTTTTGATAATTTGCAGTTGTCTTTTTCTTGACGTTTCTATCTGCTGTAGTTTTTTACTATTGAACAATAAATATAGTTTTTGTTTTTGTATAACATTTCAATAAAATTCAAAATTTGAAAGTCAACATATGACTACTTTTTATCAACAAGATCATCTTTGAATCGATTCAATGAAATATATCTTAGTTTTTCATATGTTATCCTTATTGTCGTGTGATGCTGTATGCAATTGACTCATATGTCGGATGTAAGCTAAGAATTAAACTTTTGTCAAACTTGTGACTAATTTTTTGTTGTATCCATTTATTGTTTTCGCATAATATTTATATGTAAAATTTTGTTTTCCAATTAGATTATTCTTCACCTATTGCGTTAAAAAGTATTTTGTCTTTATTACATAGTTTAGTATGTTGATGGCTAATCCTTCACAGTAAATCTATTCAACTTAAAATCGAATAAAAAGAGAAGATTGTAATTTGTGTCATCATTAATTATTCAGAAAAAATTTATTACTATGCTAAAATATTTACCTGGTATAAATTCTAATACAATTATATGATTATGTTAACGATGTAGGAGAAAACTTTATTTTTTAAGTTGTTTTAATTCTTAGCCAAACAAGTTTTAAAAAAAATAAAATTATTTGTATTTTGTTTTTTTTTCTTTTTCTGTAATGTCACCATGAAAAAAATATGCAAAAAGATTCTTTTATTATTTCAAGATTGTTTATATATCGCAACCAGTTAAAGAAAACATGTTGTTTTCATCTACTAAAAATAACGATAAAAGAAAATACACCGTACAAACCAATCATCGAACTGTCATCAGTGTAGTATATAAAAATAGAACAGATGGAAATAATGGTTATTTTAGAAGCTTGGCTGTCAAGAGGTAGATAGACTAAACTAAACAAACTCCTTATCTCATTTCACAAAAGAACATTAATCTTGTTGAGTTGGATAGAATTAAATGATTATCTTGTAATCATATGAATGATAAAGAGTGCAACAATATGAAAATTATAGTATTTCTTATTCTATCTAACAAAGTATAGGTTTAATATAATACATATATATATAACACAACAATAAATCAAATGAAATCAAATGAAAAGACGAAAAATGAAGAAATAAGTTCTTATGTTTTTATTTTCATGTATTTTGAAATATAATATAATATGATTGAATATTTCGAACATGACAATATTCATCATCAGCAATAGATGTATACGTGTACCATAATTGTTGTTGTACTTGAATTAATATAAGAATAAGAATATAGAACATTATGGATTTTTTATTTTAAAATTCAATATTATAAATATCACAAAACACATAGTAAATGATGATGAACATTGTTATGTTCGAAATATTCAATCATACTATATTATATTTGAAAATACATGAAAAAAAACATAAGAACTTATTTCTTCATTTTTCGTCTTTTCATTTGATTTCATTTGATTTACTGTTGTGTTATATATATATATCTATTACATTATATTTAAAATAAAAAAATCCATAATTTCCAATTTCTTATATTAATTAAAGTATAGGTTGTTCTAAAGAAAAAAAGTGAAATTTCTGAGACTATTATTCAGTGATAATTTTAATTATAAAATGTAGATTTGTTGTGTAATTTATTATTTTAAAATTATAATATTATGTTAGACTTCGTACAGTGTGATGGAGAAAAGTTAACAGTGACATTTGGCGATTTAATCATGTGCAACAAGAAGCTGTGCATTTTATTACCATTAAGTGGGTGTGGGTGTGGGTGTACTATGGGTGTGGGTGAGTGTCGCTGGGTGTGGGTGGGTATGGGAGTGTGGATGGGTGTGGGTGTGGGTGTGGGATGTAGTTGTGGGTGTGGGTCTGCGTCTTGCTTCTACACCCACACCGAACCCACACCCACGCACACCCCACACCCACACCCCAAGTAAGTTTAACTCTTCTAAATATACATTAAAAAGTCTCTACCCTTCACAGAATCCTTTCTGTCAGTTAGATGAAAGTATGGTCACATGAAGTATTATCCTGAAAGGGTCTTGAAAAATTTTTTAAAAGTAACTCTAAAAATCCTGAAGGAATCATAGAAAACTTCTGATATGCATTTGGCAAGATCCTTGAGAAATCTTGTTTTAAATCTTGAAAGGATCCTGTTATTCCATGGCTACACACTTGTTTCAGGATTTATTGATTTCCTGGTCTAAACCTGGTTCAAAAACAGTAGTAAACCTATCATGATTCTTGAAAATCTTGTTGTGAATCTTGACAGAATCTTGAAATTACGGGGCTACACACTTCTTTCAGGATTTTGCCGTTTCCTCAGGAAAAAACATCGAATCCTTGTAGGATCCTTCCTAGATCTGCAAAAGACCTTGGACTGAAACATCAAAGATTTTCCCTAGGGAATCGATTGAAATTTTCCAAATCACAAATAATCTGATTTTTAATCAAAATAATTCTGCGAAATCAAGAATATTTGAGATTTTAATCAAACTATATTGGGTTTTAATCAAAGTTTCGTTTGATTTAGAAGGGTTTTTCTTAATCCAAAATAATCCTGAAAATGAAGCAAAACTTTGATTAAAATCTCAAATATTCTTGATTTCGAAGAATTATTTTGATTAAAAATCAGATTATTTGTGATTTGGAAAATTTCAATCGATTATAATTTGGATTTTGGTGCAGAAAAATCCGATGATAAATCTCACAAAATCACGTATAATCGAACTTTTTTTCACTGGGAATATGTAAAGGAGGTGCTCGAATCGTTTTAAAACGAGATGATGAGTGAATTCTGTGCGACTAGGAAGCGTGTCACGGAGCTAATCTCTTTTTCAGCTAGCGCTTCGCTGAAAATAAGTACACTGATCTAAGTCGATGTAGACTAACGTCTTGATGAATCGATAATAACCATTGCTAATCAAAGCATGAATCTCACATCTTCTTCTCTTGTGGAGACATACCCAAGTGTTAATCTGTAATGGAGCTCATATTTTTCCTGCAAGTATGATTCGATGACATTGACAGGAACCCAGAAGAATTCTTCCCTATGCGCTGTCATTTCGGTGTTATGGCTGTCTTACTGAATTTTCAACATTTGGTATGATATTTATGGAGAAGTCTAATAATGAAATTTTGACCTGAAATTTCGCTCACAAACAGATCTCATGACCACTAGAGTGTTTTAAAAGCTTCAGCTATTTTAAATTTTCAAGAAACAAGCATAATTGTCAGAACATTCTAGCGGCAATGAGACCTATTTGTGAGCAAAATTTCAGGTCGAAATTCTATCGTTGGATTTCTCTATAAGCATCACTGCCAGTCCATGTCATCACAATCGCCTAGGTTTGGACGATTAATCGCAATTCCGATAAAAAATCGCGATTTAACCGTGATTGATCGATGATTCTTTTACATTGCTACTAAATGCCGACTAAATCAGTGATTTACTTAACTTAATACTCTTTAACTCAGAAAAAGAGAAAATACCAATTCTGAGCAAAGCATTGACGATCCAAATCACGAATTCTGCTATGTGAAAAATAATTATTTAAAAAATAAATTTCTATTATTGCTATGATTACTTTTATTTCATTCTGTCTTGCTGAAGATCATGCTAGCTTAGAACATTGCGGTATTGCTCCTTTGTATTTAGCTTAGATAATTGTAGTATACATGGAGACAAATGTTGGGGCACAGTTGGACTTAGGTCAAATTTAAGATTAGACCGGACAAAACTGGAATTCTGATTTCGACCGAATAATGTTGGAATTTCCAACATGAACCAGATAATTTTCAGACAGAATTGGAATCTCAAGTCTGACCAGACAAAATTAGGATTTGATTAGAGATAAATTCAAACAGTTGCAATAATTAAAATTATAATGGAATAGCTGCTTCTATTAAAGAAAATCTTTTTTTTCCTCACAAATTTACAAATCAAGATACTTCAGTCTATTCACCCCTATTGGAACAACCGCCATGTTTCGAGTGATATTTCATTAAACAAAACATTCCCATTATTTCTACATGGACATTGTTATGTACCGCACTTGCCTTTGCCATCACAGGTACGACCATTTGTTGATCCACACATATAAAGTTTACGCGCTTCAATGAATATAATATTTCTTAAATCCCTAATAACAATTTGTTTTAATTCTTCTGGACAAGTCACTGTTAAATCAACAAGGTCTTCAACTGAATATGTATTTTCTCCTTTACCATACTGGCAGACCAATTTAAACATAATTTTCTCAAATTTTATTAAATTATAACGCGTACATCTATATTTATACTACTTCTCAACACAACGTCTATAATTACAATTTTTCTTTTTTTTATTTCACTTCAATTTTACTAAAGCACGTGATTATTTGAATTTATCTCTAGTCAAATCCTAATTCTGTCTGATCAGACTTGAGATTCCAATTCTGTCTGAAAATTTTCTGGTTCATCTTGAGAGTTCTAATTTTGTTTGGTCAAAATTAAAACTCTAATTCTGTCCGAAAAATTTCTGGTCTATCTTGGAATCCCAGTTTGGTGCGGTCAAATCTTAAATTCGACCAAATGCCAATTTTGCCGCCAACATATACGTAAAAATATTGAAGTCATAACAAACATATAAGACACATATAGTCTAACTAGATGGAAGAGATATTGAGAGCTGAGACATAACGGTTATGCCAGCATAACTGAAGATAAACTGTTGATGATATTTATTATATTTTTTGAGACGCAAAGAGGTCAAATTTTTATCACAGATCCATCTAATCAATATCTTTAGTTTCTGAAAGTTTCAACTCTTCATACTAAAAAAAAGATAACACACGAAACTTATGAGGTTTCGTAGAACTATACTATAGCATATATAGTATCGTACAAAACGATGAAACTCTACTAGGTTTCATGTAGAGCGCTCGCCGGTTCTTCTGAGCCAAAAAGATGTCGTAGTGTACCTTCTAAAGGTATCACAGAGAAAACGTTTTGTATAGAACAATCTTCTGCCTTATGTCTAATATAGACAAATATTCACTAATTAAAAACTCGAGGATCTAACTTCATTCTTCTGGTTATTTATATACATTCACTCCGCAATCGATCTTCAATATTGCGTTACTTCTTTTTATCTTAATACTTCGCTATCTGAAGTTCATATCTCGACTAATACACAATAATTCAATCACATAGTCATCCCAACTTCTTCGCTGAATCTCAAAGTCTTTTAAGATTTTGACGAGGAAAAAAACATGATGAGATATAGATCTATTATTCTAGGGTAACTTGATTAAAGACAACCTTAGGAATGTTAGCCTAACAATTTAGACGAAGAAAAGGATAACCGATAGGTATCACTGCATCGGTTAATGTGAACAGTTGATGACTTGACTAACCGTGAACACTAAACTTTAACTTTCTTTCTTACGCATTATCTCCTTAAAACCAAACACTTTACGTGTCGGTAATACAATTTCATTTAATATTTCAGTTAGTGAAGGCCTTTTTTGAGAGAATTATCTATTTGTATAAAACTTGGCTAAAGATTTTTGCAATTAAGGATTCGATTGGGACGAAAATATTTTGTCTCTTTTTCAAATTTCTTTTAGTCTTTTTCATATTTGTAGAATCCAATTGATTCCTCCTCTCAGAAAGCCTTTGGTCAGGCTTATAAAAAGTCGTTGTTTATTTCTAAATAAGTTTTGTTTGAGTTAAAGAATCGGAATTAAGTGGTATATGTCTTATCCAAAGGTCTTAAGCAAGTATTTTTAGGTAGATTAAGTTTTGAGTAGAGAAATGTTAACTTAATATTATGTATTAATGAAAACAATTTAATAACTTAAACCAACTAACGAGGGAAGGTCCCCAAGTGATTAAAAGCTTTAGAGTCCATGTTTTGCTCAGTGGTAAGGGATCCATAGACTAGAACAAATCCCAAACGGTTTGTCCGGAGATTGAGTTTTCATTGAGATATTGAATTGGGAAGTTACAAGTATTCTAAGCATGTTTCACTGCATTTTATTTTTCTGCATATTTTAGCTAAGGGTTGCTATAACTTGGAAATTTTTTCATGATTAGCTGACATGATCCTTTGATTCTGCTAAGAGAGTAAAGCTTTTATAGTTCATCAAAAACACCTTATCAAATTGTAACATTATTCCACTTCCCTTGAAGAACACTTTATCTACTGCTTAAAATCCAAATGGTCAATCTACTTGTTGTATTTATTTTTGATATAAGAGATTGTTTAGCAATGAAAATGATATTCTTCGAAGAAATGAGATACGCAAAGCAACTGTCTACAATGAGCACAATTAATAAACGAAGAATGATAACAGTNTTGTTGAGACTAAACTGTGTAGAAAATTTCATCGCGATCTGACTCTCCTTTCGAAAGTTATCGTGTATACGGACGGACGGCCGGACACACAGACCGATTTTAGTAGTGTACTCACTTTTTGAGTACACAAAAAGAAATAAAAAAATGTGAAAGATGTACTGAAGAAAATATTGTACTATAGATGATAACTTTAATTGGGAAAACGGATCAATAGAACACGTTAATCACGTGTAGTCATGATAGAGCTAAAGTATTCGAAAAATAATTAGTTTTATCAATTGTTTAATGAACTTCAGCATAATCTAGACCAACGATAACACTGATCCAATGTTCTTAATTATGTGACCGGGAGATAAAAAAAATATATATTGATGATGTTGAAAATATATTTCATTTCTCAATCTGAACATTTACTGCACACAACACTTCCAAAAAATGTCTCAAATCCAGAAACTCCTTTCTGAAAAAGGAAAACCAATGCTTCTCCATGAAAGTTACATATACACTGTAGAACGTACAACAACGACGAAATTGATTTTTCGATGTCAGAATCATGATTGTAAAGGTAAATTCACTTTGAATATCATCAATCAATTAAGCACGTTGCCATACCAATTTATCCATGGACGTATTTCTCTCTCAACCAATATCACATGGTCATGCTTCACAAGCTGATCGTGTTTCAGCTATCCAATTAAAGAACGAAATTAAAGCTCGTGCTGTGACGACAGATGAATCATCCAGCTCAATTTTTCATTCGGCCTTACGTACATATCCACTGAGTGCCGCTGGTGAACGTCCAAGAAGTGAAGCACTTATACTCACAGTTCGACGACAACGTACTGCTGAAACAGTCGATGCTGATGGTCGTATACCAGAAGAATTAAGAAAGACATATCGTGATGAAGATTTCATCTTGCACGAAGACGAGCATTTAATTATGTTTACAACGAAAAATAATTTATCTATTCTGAAGCAAAACAAGCATTGGTTTGCTGATGGAACATGTAAAGTGAGCTATTAATTGAATGTATATCTTTTTTTCTAATTATCTTTGATGTAGGTGTGTCCGGATGATTATTATCAACTTTTTACATTACATGCAATGATGACGAGTGCGATTATCCCTCTCGTCTATGGATTGTTAATTGGTAAAAGCAGTGACGATTACAATAAATTCTTCGAAAAATTATTTGAACAAGACACTTTTCAACCTGAATCAATTATGACTGATTCTCTTTAAACTAGTTTTTTCTTTTTTTTCTTTCTTTTTTCTTTCTTCTTTCTTTTGTATAAAATTTGTTCATCATTTTTTCATGTATGGGTGCACAAAATAAAAATGAATTAATTGATCAATTTCACATCTTTGAAAAAAAAATTAGTTTTGAGCAATATCGATATATTGATCGCAACGATATTGTTCGCGACGAACAGAACAAAAGAAAATGTTCTGCGACAAATTGAACGAAGCAAACTATTCTGCGACGAATTGATCGGTCACCAACCCAACCCGAAATGAAACCATATATTATGTATATATATATAAATGCGGGTCACGATTCGACAAAAATTTAAATAACATACATCTTTTATATTCACATTTTTTTATGAAGTAGCATGAGAAGAGTTATATGTATAATAATACAAAATGTGCCTCTATATATGACAATTAGCACTGGGTACTGTCATATTAATACTGTTCCTTGCAATTATTCTGCACTTTAGGTGTAGCCAATCTTGAATTTCCTGGAAAGCGGAATTTACCATGCCCTCACGCGATCGGGATCACAAACACTAGCTAGATCAACAACAATTGATACTGCTTGTTTTAATTCATCCCATCGAGATGACATTTTATTGAAAGGACCAGAAACGTCACCAAGCGGAGTATTCATCGAACCTGAATCATCACAGATAAATACTATTTCATAGCCTTCAAGGACGCGTAATTTTGTAGCAAATGCATGGTTGATTTCGTAACGAGCAACAAGTTGTTGAAAATCAGTCATAAGATCTTCAGCTGATCGACAATAATTACGTAATTCTTGATTCGCATACATATTATTTTGATACGGTGATGAAGCTTGTATTATTTGTATGGATGAGAAGCTACTACAACGCGACGAATTACAACGGCGTGAAAAAAATCCTATTTGCCGAAAAATTCACCAATCAGCAAAATCTGAGCACACAAAGTTCATTATAGAGAACAAGTACATAGACATGGCTACCCATAGCAACCAATAAATAAAAAAGGCATCTGTGTGAAGCTATCACAACACGATCACTGACCACGACGAGTGAAAAATAACTACTTGTTGAAATATAAAACCAATCAAAAGCTGATAAATAAAAAAACACCACTATGCAGGAGAAACCCATGAGCATCGTACTCCATAGTAACCTTAATATTTATATCAGTGTTACATAATCGCATCTGATATTATCGAGTGGTTCAGAAAAAATGGGCTACTTTTCATGCGAAATTATTTTATGTATAATCTCAACAATTCTGTATGTTTTCATGAGAGAAGACGTGGCGTAAAATTTTCTACAAAACTATTGAATGCTTCATTTATAAAAGTTGAAATTGAAAAGATCCTCTTAGTCAAGAATCTCTTAACGAATCGCCAGGGATTCCCCAATAAAAACACCCGGGGACTCACGACACGAAGTCCCTGGGGATTTTGAAGGAAGTTTATCGAGAGCCCCCAGAGATTATTCAGAGAGCGACTCTATAAATGATTCTGCAGTCCCTCATAAATGGCAGTTGCCGAAGGGATATACAAGCCAGTACATCACATTTATCAGTGATATTGTCACTGAGCGACATACCTACCCATCTGCCTACGTACTTATCTACCTACAGGGTTGGGAATAATATTTTGTCCGGGGGGTAGCGCCATAATTTCAAATAGGATATGCAATGAATTTTATATCAAATGAAAGCCGGTCGAAAATGGAATTTATTCATACTAAACAATAGGGATTATTAGAACTTTCGTACGGTAAATTGTCAAAATTTGTAGTATTTTACCGACTACAAGTATGATAAAAATTATTCATGAGATAAACTTCGAACTATATGTGATGCAAAATTGTTTATTTTTTTATCATTTTATGAATACAATCAATAATTAGTATGACAACTGTTTGCTTTCTTTTCTTCACGAGGTCGAGATGGATATGAACATAGAGAAGTTTCAAATAACTCGGTGTCTTTTTCCATATTTGCTAAAACATTTGAAAGGTACATTTTGTGCGTGTCTTCAACATAACGATTATGTTCAGTTTCTCATAACATTTTTTTTCTCAACTTCATCTTTGATTATTGTTCCCATATGTTCTGCCACATTGAGATCGGATGAATTTTCTGGCCAGATATCATTACCCCAAAAACCTAACATCGTTGTCTTTCAGCAAATATTGCGTCTTATATGATCGCAAATACGGTGATTTATCATGGACAAATATCACTTCATCTGGATCAATAACATTTTCTTTGTTCTTTAAGAAAGGAAATACATTTTGAGTCAAAATTGTATCACGAAAATAGTGACCTGTTCAAGATTCACCTTTGTCTTTGATCACCCAAAGTAACTTCTTAGCAGTAAGCATAATAAAAATACCAATACATGGTTAATGTTTCACAATTTCACGATATCTTCCATTGTCTTCAATGTTCTCGACACTTCTTGCCCATATTCGATCAGTCTGATAATTTGGTCTACGGACAACCCACACATAAAATCCATCGGATGGTGCGAGATGAAGAAAGTCCTCTTTGGTCCAATCTTCTAACCAATCGCACAGCCATAATCGATCCGATATATGAGTTTCAGATTTCAACGATTTTGGAACAACATGGAATGGTTTTAATCATTCTCCATGACGATAATTATTGATTATTGTTGGAACAATGTACTCATTTTGCTATTCTGCAACTTCCTTCGCCACAACAGAACAACTTTTTCTTTGTCGGCCACTCGCTTGAAGAATGACGTCTTGACTTGCTTGCCATAATTTAAGTTTGGGACCAGCATTTAAATAATCAACAAAGCATTGGTCATATGTTTTTTCCCACTAGATACTAACAAACCGAATCCAGCGATGGACTTTCTTCGCGACCTATTCTCTGTTTATGAATATTGCACCAACATCGTGAGCCTCCCGAAAGGCAATGCATTTGATTCTGTCAATTATTCTCTGTTGTTCAGTATCATAAATACTAGCCATTTTCAAGTAATCGGGTTTAATGGATTCACCAAGCAGATAAATTTATTTTATGAAATATATTGATCACAATATGACCTTATATATTGTTTCGCAAGCTATATAAACTTTTCTGTTCTATAAATTTTTAACCCATTGGGCCCGATGGGGTCCACCTGTGGATCCCACTATATTTTAACAAGAAACTTAATAGAAAAACGCTTTCTTTTCTTTTATTCTTAGGCGGAA